AAAATATCTGCAGTGTATGCAAAAAATCTTTTAAGTATCGTTCCCAATTAAGTGCACACAAGAAAGTGCACTCTGACATAACTTATGATTGTTCTATATGCGGAAAATCATATAAATATGTTTACACTTCACAAAGACATATGAAGAAACACTTAATTGATGTGGTAAGTAATAAATTTTATTAATCTTCCTGTAGGAAAACAACGAAACAAACGTAAGTAATNAAGTGCACTCTGACATAACTTATGATTGTTCTATATGCGGAAAATCATATAAATATGTTTACACTTCACAAAGACATATGAAGAAACACTTAATTGATGTGGTAAGTAATAAATTTTATTAATCTTCCTGTAGGAAAACAACGAAACAAACGTAAGTAATATTCTTAAAAAATTAAAAAATATAACATGTTAGCGCCTCAAGCGCCACCGTATTTTTGTCATTAAAAAAAAAAAATTTATTTAAAAAATTTGTGAACGAGAGTAGTTCTGTAACGGTTATTTGTAGCAGCCATTTTTGTAGCAGTGTTTCATTCCGCATTAAACGTTATTTTTTGCAAAACCGCAGCACTTTCATATTTTTACAGTCCATTAACCTCTCAACGTACGAACTATTAAAAAGAAGGGCTTTAAATGAAAAATTTTTTTATTATTATTTAAAAGAAAGCATCTATTTTATCTGGAAAAAAGTTTCATTCGAATTTTTTCAATTTGTAAAAATTGGTTCCTAAATGGCATCTTCTCCTTTGGATAGCCAACTTTACAGGGGCCCCCTGCGATTCGGCTTCTTTGTACTATTATTAGTTTTGCCGAGAAGCTGCCATTCGTCGGTTAGCGATAAAATAATTAAAAAAGTTAACCACAAAATATATAATGAAGGTAATGTAAAAAATGAAATGAAGTTCGTAGCTATCTAAGCTTTGATTTGCTTTCTTGTATTTGTTTGAACCAATAAATGTTTTCTCACCATTCCAGGTCATAAATATTTCGGAAAAGTCAGTCCCTTACCATTGTAAAGTAATTAGCAGTAAGAAGAAAGATTATTGGCTGATAAAATCAATAGTAATCTTTTTAGAACTGTAATTGGTTTATTTCTGTATTTGTTGAGACATTATTTGACATAAAAAGCTTTACAATAAGCTCCCACAAAAAATCAAAATAATTTATAATACACCATTTTATAAAATAAATTTATAGAAAATTATAGTATAAATTTTCATTTATTTTATAATGTATTATTTAGAAACTTATTATTTTTTATGTAACACAATACTGGCAAAGAGACACTGGATACAAGCTTCAGTACAGATAAACAGCTGGACGACCTTGAAAACAGCTGATTGTAAACTTTCGCGGGTTGTTCCCAACAACAGCCTGAGGGGAAGTAGGTTTTCTACACACGTCTGAACTAGTTACTGCAAATACTCGATTGTATTACGTTATTTTCTGATAATTTTTTTTTATTTTCTTGTTATTACCTATATTATATGCTAATCTGAACCACATTAACCTAACATTGTTTTTTTGTGTTTTACAGGAAAAACTCCCACAAAAAATTAAAAAAACATTTAATACACCAATTTATGAATTAGATTTCTAAAAAATTTTAACATATAACTTAATTTCCTTTAATGCATGTTATTTAAAAACAAATTGTCTTTAAAATAAAAAAAAATCGCGACGAATCACGTGACACGCGCCGCTGTTCGGTGTAGTTGGCGTAATGTCCTTGAGAACAGCTGTTTATAGGCATTCGCGGGATATTCTCATACAAATCGCAGGGGAAGACCAGTTTGTAGACAGATGTGCATCAGTTACCGTAAACACTCAAATACATGACGAATTTTTCCATTCGATATACTATCTCTATAAATAGGGACCAAAAAAATGGTCAAAAAATAAACTTCTATTACGTGTAAAATTACGAAACTTGCTGAGATCATCAACAACATCCAATAGAATGTAAATTAACTTTATTTGAATTAATTCGACCAACGAGGAGTTACGTACGATTATTTAAATTTGCCCGAGTTATCTCGGGACTGGGCAACTCCTAGTGAAAACGTTGCCCGAGTATACTCGGGATTGGGCGTTAAGGGTATACTCTTAGTTGACCAGGGTGTCTATTCGTAGATACCCTATTTTATTTTTAAATTCACCAGGGTGTCAATTCGTAGACACCCTGTAAAAATTCGAAAATTTAAAAATTTTTTGCCAACAGATGCCAGCACTTGACGGTAACGTCTTCTATACTGTCTGTTTCACATATTTGCGTCCAGGTGTCATCTTGTTGACCTATAAAACCATTAGTAAAAATTTTTGAAATTCACTTTAGCGTGTTTGCTCGAAGATCTCTTTGTGTGTTTTACAGGTAAGGCTATATACATTTTCTTTGTTCTTTGTAACTAATATTTCTTTTATTATTTATATAGTTTTATATATAAAATATAGTACTTTAACATTTTTAAGGTATATACAATATAATTTTCGTAATATATTATAAAAAATTTCGATCTTATATCAAATGATATTTTTAATAAATTATTTTATTTTATATCTTTGATTTAGTTATTGTAATTGTATTTATTATAGTTTTAGCTTTATATTGTAACGTATCGTTACATATAGTTTATTTTTTAAAATTAGATTTATCGAATTACAACCGAATTTTATAAATAATATGGCCTCATCTTCGAAAAAATCGAAAATGTCAAAAATTTTAGAAGAATCCGATCTTCAGGATATCGATAACTTTTCCGACACTATTTCAGAGTCAGGCTCTGACCCTGATTTTAGTCTGATGGACGTTTCTGATTATTATGATTCAGAAGAAGAATTGGCCCCTCCAAGCTCCTCTTCAAATCAATTTACTACTACGCAATCAAATGATGACGATGATGATGACTATCAGGAGGTTCTATCTCCAGAGCAACCTACTTCTCTTCCTTTCCCTTTTCAGTGTTAGTTTCAGTATTCAGATTAAGTGGTCAGTATGAGATTAATTAACCCCAGACCCACTGCTTATCTCACATTGGTGTCAGGAGTGGGATATATAAGACACGTTTGTCCGTCTTAGACAGTGTCCTTGGAACGCAAGTTTTGTCCTCAATAGACAGGTTTTCTGAGAAAATTTTGTGAGGCATAGATAGCCCAAAATTACACTAGATAAAGGATTCTAGTATATATTAGCGTTAGAATGGAAGGCAAGAATTGGCGCCCTACACTCAGAGGACAAAATGGTTTAGTCCCCTTGCTGCCTAGTTTTTCGAATCATTGGCGGATATAGCAAAGCTAGCTTCTTCGACAAAAGAACAGATGTTAGCGATAGCAAAATTACGACTAACTGGAATCGCTCGAGAATTCGTTAGAAAGGATAGCAGAAAGAAAGTAGAAGACTATGATGAATTTAAGAAAATTCTGATTGAACGCTTTGAAATAGAACCTTTCCCAATCAGTCTGAACAAATTTTATGCCTGTTTTCAGTGTCTGGATAAGGATGTTCAAACATACACAGTTAGGTTACAAGCCCTTGCAGCAGAAATAGAAATAAGGCATGAAAGAGTAGATGTGAATAATTATTATTGGACTTCACTCCTAATATTATGTAATCAAGTTGAGAAAATTGTCGTCTAGGCGTTAATAAACAACATCTATCGCTACAAACAACAAGCGCTTTCAACGAAACTATTTTTGTCTTCTTCAGGTTAACAGAACAGTTAATATTCTTCAAATTCAAAATTACAGCAACGGCAAACCAGCATTGGAATAAAAACGAAATAGAACAAAAACGGAGAATTTAAAAGATGCGCGCTCAGTGCCGACACGTCGGCACCGAGTGTCAGAACCAAAAACTAATCCAGAGGGAGAATTTCAACCAAGGCTAGCGAGTTTCACGCAATTACTTCAATTTTTAATGGTCATTTTTGGTCTCATCAGAAGACGTAGCAAGTCTATAGAAGACAACCCAGCACGAATAGTAGCCATAACCAAAATGAACTCACAATGACAACAAAGTTATATCCTACTTCCGATCCATCCCATGATGCCAATGCTGCAAATTAAGCACAATTCCTTCGGGACTTGCCGCAAATCAAAAATTTGGGCAACAAAATTAGGAAAGCACATGCTATAGCATAGTTCAGTGCTTCTCAACCACTGTGCCACGGCACTTTAGTGTGCCGTGAAATTTCTGAAGTGTGCCGTTTCCGCGACACAAAGTGACTAAAATCAGAAAACCATGTTCTCCCAAATTTCACGAAGCATGACAGAATGGAAAATGGCCAGCAAATGCTACAAAATTATCGATTTCACAATATAAACTAAATGAAGATAATTTTTTCGATACTTTTTAAAAATTCTAAGAGTTCATTTTCTTTTTTTGATGAACTTGTCGAATCATCATCGTCATATGATTCCAAATGTTACCGGTCGAAATTTCCAAACGCGCCTCTAGCGGGGACTGGCTGAACTGATGCGCATGACTATTACAGTTTTGGAGCAATACCGCAATATCATGTTGTGAAACTTTATTAAAACGGATTCAAAGTAATATATGATATTGTAGTATTGTTTTGTAGCAGTTTCGTGGAACTTCTCCCACCCTGTAGTAAATCACCCAAAATGTGTGAACCCTTGGTCAGGTGTCAGAGGGGTGACAAAACATACGACCATTATGTAAGCGCATTGTCCATCTGATGACCTAATCTTAGATGTGTAAGTCATTTATAGTCTCCCAACAGATATATTTTTATTTTAAAAGAACCTCTTAAAATGGATAAATGGATTAAAAAAAGAAAGTTTAATGACGATAATAGTGTTAGTGATCAGGCGAATGATCCCAAGCCCAGTCTAAGTAAAGATGTTTTCTCTGCCAAAAAATGTAATGTTCATCGTAAGTATAATGACGACTTCTTAAAATTTGGATTTACATCTACAACGGAAAATGATCAAACTGTTCCCGAGTGTGTGGTATGTGGCTGTAAATTGTCAAACAGTGCTATGGTTCTCAGCAAGCTAAAACGTCACTTGCTCACTAATCATCCTTCGCTTGCATCAAAAGACAAAAACTACTTTCAGAAATCATTATCTGCAAGATCCAAACAAGTAAAGGTTTTTGAAAAACAATTTAGTGTGTCTGAAAAAGCTCAGATAGCTTCTTATGAAGTGGCTGAATTAATTGCTCTTAAATTAAAATCTCATAATTTGGCTGAAGAAATTATATTACCTGCATGCCGTAAAATTGTAAAAAGAATGATGAGTGAATCAGCAGAAACTGACATTTGTAAAGTACCACTTTCAAATGACACAATTCATTGCAGGATTATAGACTTGTCCCGAAATATTGAAGAAAATACTGGTAAAACTCTTGTAAATTCCAATTTTGCACTACAAATCAACGAAACAACTGATATTACGGGAAAAGCACACTTAATTGCATTCGTTCGATTCATTCACGAAAATGATATAATTAATCAATTTTTATGTTGTTGCGAATTATCTGATTTTACAACAGGAAAACATATTTTTAATGTTATAATTTATATTTACAAGAAATTAATGTTTCGTGGAATATGTGCATTGGCATTTGTACATACGGTGCTCCGGCTATGACTGGATCTGTAAAAGGATTTTTAGCACATGTAAGGGAACATAATGCAGATATGTTAGTTACCCATTGTTTTTTGCATCGGGAAACACTCGTTACAAAACGATTACCATCAGAGTTGAAAATAGTGCTGGAACAATGTGTTAAAATGATTAATTATATAAAATCAAGACCATTGCAAAGTCGCCTATTAGTCAACTATGCCAGGCTATGCAGTCTAAATACGAATCGTTGTTATTGCACACGGAAGTTAGGTGGTTGTCCAGAGGGAAGGTTTTATCTCGCGTGCTTGAATTAAAAGACGAGATAAAGTTATTTTTTGAACAAGATAATAATGATTTTGCTGATTTGTTGGATGACAAAATATGGTGTGCTAAACTAGCTTACTTATCTGATATTTTTGTTATTTTTAATAACATAAATACAAGTATGCAAGGATCAAATGAAAATATTTTAAACTCCATAGATAAATTGTTGGGATTTAAAAAAAAATTACTTTATGGAAGAATAAGGCAAAAGAAGGTAGTTTATAAAAATTTGAGTCAGTTTTAAAAGACTGCTATAAAATTCATAAAATAGTTATTGATCATTTGACAATAGTTGAGCAAAGAATTGTTCATTACTTTCCAAATTTAGACATAAAAAAATTTGATTGGATTCGAAATCCATTTGTGATAAACGACACGTCGGTGTATGAGTTAACTTTGAAAGAAGAGGAGGAACTGATTTCAGTGTGTAATAACCAAGATTTATTTTCAAAACATTCAGAAGAATCAACTAATTCGTTCTGGATTAATCTTAGATACGATTATCTGACAATATCACAAAAAGCTTTAAGTGTGTTATTACAATTTTCCACATCTTATTTGTGCAAACTTGGATTTTCGGCTTTGACCAACATAAAAACGAGAAAGAGATCCAGTCTTTTAAATCTGGATCACAAAATGAAAGTAGTGTTATCATTTTTACGCCCAAATATAAATGAAATTATCAAAAAACACAAATTTCAAATTACATTTAATGCGAAATTTGAGCTTGATCATTAAATAAACATTTTGTTTACTTTGTAATGCAATTTCCTTTTATATTTCATTGAAAATTCTTATCGTATGCTCTTTTTACAAAATATATTATAGGTACATTTCTCAATTAATGAAGTAGAATTTTTTACAATTTATCTTATTGTTAGTGTGCCGCCAAATTTTTAAAGTACTAAAAGTGTGCCGTGACGAAAAAAAATTGAGAACCACTGGCATAGTTTTAGCGTCACGCTATTATCATTTTTTTTGAGAGATTATTTAGTTATAACAATTTCTGTAACATAGATATCTATTATTGTGACTTGAAACTCATGTTGAAGTGAATCAACACGGTGGGTGAACGAACTTTACACACTGAGACTGTCAACACTGCATGTCCGGCATCCAGTGAGGACAATTCTGCAGAAGACAGCCACATTGAGTTACGACCGATGTTCTGACAAGGCTAACATCCAAATCAGCGACATAGTGACCGTCAACCAACAACCGACACCTCTGCTACTAAGAACTGTGATCTACTGAACCAGGTCACTTCCAGTTGTGCTATCGGCACTAAAAATTCAGTTTTTAATGTTACGTGTCAAATTGTTGATGCCGAAATGCGAAATTTTTGTCAATCCAACTTTTGATAACTTTATTGGGAAATTTTCTATTTTAGTCATAAGAATAAGGTAATCCCCATGTCGGTCTGAAGAAATTTAATACAGAGAGAGTAAATTCGAATGTTAAAATTATACTGTCCAGAAGACATATAATTTTAAAGAAAACGGAAAGTAGTGTGAGCCTGAGGGTTTTGAGGACGTAAATTTTTGAGTTTAACATATTTTTACATCAGAGGATAAAAAAATAAATTATCGCAAGTTATAACAAAAATAGATTGGATGTCGAATCTTACACATCCACGAGGGAGGAAGGAAGAAAATCAAGTCATCGTCCGTTTGTTAATTAGTCATTGTGCACATGCAAATTAGTCAGCATAACGAGTGAAAGACCTGTTGGCTCGGTCAACGATGATTGTCACAGGAAGTTCAGAGCGATCGTCCCCTCAGTCCGACCATCAAAAAAGTCTGATTACAAGTGTCTCCAGTCCTGATCCTGTCCGAAAAGAAGCTGGTAAAAACATTTATTTATTTATTTAATTAGACATACTAGGCAGAGCCCATGATGCAGGGTATACAATAATTCGTTACATGTACATTACAAAACAAAATCACAATCCATCCATTATTACAGAGAAAATTAACATATACATAAATCAAAACGAAACCAATTATACAAGTATTATTATAAACATCAAAAATAAATATCTGAANGATAAAGTTATTTTTTGAACAAGATAATAATGATTTTGCTGATTTGTAGGATGACAAAATATGGTGTGCTAAGCTAGCTTACTTATCTGATATTTTTGTTATTTTTAATAACATAAATACAAGTATGCAAGGATCGAATGAAAATATTTTAAACTCCACCAATAAATTTTTCGGATTTAAAAAAAAATTACTTTATGGAAGAATAAGGCAAAAGAAGGTACAGTCAACCCCCCTATAAGATATAGATACGTTCCAATTTATTAGGAATCCGATTTCTCACAAGTCGTTCCAATCACAGCCCGACACGTGTGAAGTTTACAAACTACGGCTGTTTGAAAAATTTTCTTCCATAAAATTAATCGATTCTACACTAATCCGACTCAACATTTCCAAAATACGTAATTTTTTCGTAGTTTTATAGGAATTGTAATTATAGGGACCGTAATTATAGGGGGGTCGACTGTAGTTTAGAAAAATTTGAGTCAGTTCCAAAAGACTGCTATAAAATAATTCATAAAATAGTTATTGATCATTTGACAATAGTTGAGCAAAGAATTGTTCATTACTTTCCAAATTTAGACATAAAAAAATTTGATTGGATTCGAAATCCATTTGTGATAAACGACACGTCGGTGTATGAGTTAACTTTGAAAGAAGAGGAGGAACTGATTTCAGTGTGTAATAACCAAGATTTATTTTCAAAACATTCAGAAGAATCAACTAATTCGTTCTGGATTAATCTTAGATACGATTATCTGACAATATCACAAAAAGCTTTAAGTGTGTTATTACAATTTTCCACATCTTATTTGTGCAAACTTGGATTTTCGGCTTTGACCAACATAAAAACGAGAAAGAGATCCAGTCTTTTAAATCTGGATCACAAAATGAAAGTAGTGTTATCATTTTTACGCCCAAATATAAATGAAATTATCAAAAAACACAAATTTCAAATTACATTTAATGCGAAATTTGAGCTTGATCATTAAATAAACATTTTGTTTACTTTGTAATGCAATTTCCTTTTATATTTCATTGAAAATTCTTATCGTATGCTCTTTTTACAAAATATATTATAGGTACATTTCTCAATTAATGAAGTAGAATTTTTTACAATTTATCTTATTGTTAGTGTGCCGCCAAATTTTTAAAGTACTAAAAGTGTGCCGTGACGAAAAAAAATTGAGAACCACTGGCATAGTTTTAGCGTCACGCTATTATCATTTTTTTTGAGAGATTATTTAGTTATAACAATTTCTGTAACATAGATATCTATTATTGTGACTTGAAACTCATGTTGAAGTGAATCAACACGGTGGGTGAACGAACTTTACACACTGAGACTGTCAACACTGCATGTCCGGCATCCAGTGAGGACAATTCTGCAGAAGACAGCCACATTGAGTTACGACCGATGTTCTGACAAGGCTAACATCCAAATCAGCGACATAGTGACCGTCAACCAACAACCGACACCTCTGCTACTAAGAACTGTGATCTACTGAACCAGGTCACTTCCAGTTGTGCTATCGGCACTAAAAATTCAGTTTTTAATGTTACGTGTCAAATTGTTGATGCCGAAATGCGAAATTTTTGTCAATCCAACTTTTGATAACTTTATTGGGAAATTTTCTATTTTAGTCATAAGAATAAGGTAATCCCCATGTCGGTCTGAAGAAATTTAATACAGAGAGAGTAAATTCGAATGTTAAAATTATACTGTCCAGAAGACATATAATTTTAAAGAAAACGGAAAGTAGTGTGAGCCTGAGGGTTTTGAGGACGTAAATTTTTGAGTTTAACATATTTTTACATCAGAGGATAAAAAAATAAATTATCGCAAGTTATAACAAAAATAGATTGGATGTCGAATCTTACACATCCACGAGGGAGGAAGGAAGAAAATCAAGTCATCGTCCGTTTGTTAATTAGTCATTGTGCACATGCAAATTAGTCAGCATAACGAGTGAAAGACCTGTTGGCTCGGTCAACGATGATTGTCACAGGAAGTTCAGAGCGATCGTCCCCTCAGTCCGACCATCAAAAAAGTCTGATTACAAGTGTCTCCAGTCCTGATCCTGTCCGAAAAGAAGCTGGTAAAAACATTTATTTATTTATTTAATTAGACATACTAGGCAGAGCCCATGATGCAGGGTATACAATAATTCGTTACATGTACATTACAAAACAAAATCACAATCCATCCATTATTACAGAGAAAATTAACATATACATAAATCAAAACGAAACCAATTATACAAGTATTATTATAAACATCAAAAATAAATATCTGAATGCCAAATATCCAAATATAAACATATAACATAATAACAAAAAATCATCATGGGGAGAACTATCCAACCGAAATCATCATTATATGAAAAAAAACATTAATTACACCCACCTATAAAAGAAAAAAAATTCAATTATCTTATTCAAAATGTGGATACTCTCCCAACACTTCTTAGCCACAAGCACACTTTTAAGGAAAAAACAAATGCCACCTTTCAGCAAAAACGAATACTCCAATATGCAAAATAAACAANAAGAAAAAAAATTCAATTATCTTATTCAAAATGTGGATACTCTCCCAACACTTCTTAGCCACAAGCACACTTTTAAGGAAAAAACAAATGCCACCTTTCAGCAAAA